GGTGGTGGTCATCTGTACATTCACTCAGTTGGACAGCTGGCATGCATCAGCTTGGTGCCAATAGCACAGGGTTTAATCCCCATTCAGGACGTGCTTCCTTGCCTGGCCATTGTGGCAGTTTGTGGGTCAGGGCTGCCTTTGTGCAGAAAGTTTCAGCATTGTGTGAAATCCCCTCATATCCCAGACATATATTTTTACCCAGAATTTCAAAATTGTGGGTCTCACCTCAACCCTTCCTCTACAAACCTGAGAGATTCAAACACAATGATAAGAAATTCTAAGCTGACAAATTGCAGCACTGGGAGACAGGGCAGCTCAGGGCACATACAGGGTGATGGGTCCATGTGGTTACGATGCAGGCATGCAGAGCTTCATCTGAAGGTGGGAGCCTGGCTGGGAGAGCATTGCAATAGCCCAGAAAAAAAAAAAAATCACCACAATCAGAGCACTGCTGGAATCCAGAGGTGGTGAAGTCATAAATATGGACTGAACCAATAGTCTAAATATCTCCACCTCTGGAATACTCTCTGCTCTTGCGTTCGCAGTAAAGGCAAGAAATTATTCTGAAACCTGACAAATCCCATCAATCTATCTATCTATCTGCTTCAGCGTGTAGGATCTTAACTATATCCTAACACTGAACAAATTCCTGAACAGCAGACTTATCCCAATCCAGCAATGCCTTAAATCCAAAATCCGTCCTTGGCTTTTTTCCTGTCTCTATTAGCTCCTCCAAAATCCTCTATTATCTCTTCTAATTCTGGTCTCTTGAACATCCCCTATTTTAAAGACTTTTAATTGGCAGCTGTGCCTTAGCTGCCCAGGGCCCTAAATTCTGGAAATCCCCACTCTGAACACCTCCGTGCCTCTTTCTCTCTATCCTCCTACCCACCCTACAATCAAGCTTTTAGCCACTTGCCCTAATACCTTTCTGGGCACAGTGGTGGGCAGGCTGTACTGATGTTGGCTCATTGTGTATGGAAGGTGCAACAGGAAGGGGCTGACAGTGTGACTTCACTGCAGAATGCAATGGGCTTGCATGTGACTCCAGTACATGGTTAACACATTACCTCAAAGTGTTCTTTCACAGAGATGCCTCCCACCGGAGGTCGCACCTTACTGAAGATTCGGAGGGCTAATTGTCGAGCTGATTGCGGGGGGTTCTGAGGACGCAACACCACCTGGGCAAAACCCAAAGGTTCAACTTGAGAAAAAGGCAAAGTTTGGCAGTACATTCAGTCTCATCCTCAACATCCCATATATCAAAATGAAACAAATAAAGGGAGTTCAACCAACTAATAGCCCAAAACAGCAGAGAAAGTCATGTCTTAATGAAGTTCACATGTATGTATGTGTGTAGTGTAGATGAAACATAAACCACTAGAACACAGAAACACACAGACATTGTCAGAAACACAGGATTGCAACCAGAGTATCAGGAATTGATGGACTCCCTGCTGCCCAACCCAAGGATGACTGAAGCAACGTCCTGTGCACTGGCTCTGATCACGTTCCTCAGCACAGGGTTGTACCAGGCCTCCCTGTCTTTTGTGGCTCAGTATTACAGAGGACAGAACAGTCCCCCCAGTCCCCTGGGGAGCATGCAATCAAAGCTGCAATGGTCTTCACAATCATTTATGTATAAAATGTAGAGTGACCTCCTTTGCTCATGTCTTCACACCTCCTGGGCTTGCACTTGCTTGTTCTGTTGCTCAGAACCTCCATTTTCAATTCCAAATTGACTAAAATCATCATTCTCTAGAACTTACACCTCTTTAATCTTTCATCAGGCATCTCCTTCAGCAGGTTCTCATGCTTTACATAACACGACCAATCCAAACTTGCTTAACTTTTGTTGAAAATATGCGCTAACAATCTTGCCTTTTCCAAAATACTTAAAAGAATGGACAGGGTAAATGCAGGGTAAGATTTTGGGGCGTCTAGAACCAGGAGATACATCTTCAAAATAAGGGGGAAGCATTTAAGACTGAGATGAGGAGAAGTGATTTTACTCAGAGGGTTGTGAATCTTGGAATTCTCTATCCCAGAGAGTAGTGGAAGCATCTAAGTGCACTCCAGATCATAAAAGACACGAGTTTTGTGACAGGAATCTATTGTATTCCTCATGACTTCACAGTGACCTCAAGAAGTAGTGACTGTTTTTTGAATTGATAGTAGCTGAACATTCTGTTACGTTCCCGATGAGGAGGTGCTGTATTGACACAGGCTGCTCTACTTACCTTGTACAAGGAGTTTGGCAGCAGGTTGTTCATGGTGAAAGCCCCCAGTTCCAGCAGATGCTCAGCCGTGTCATCTGATTTATTCACCTGTAGGAAGATGCAAAAGTCAATCTCTGGCCAATGGAACCTGACCAGACTGACTCCCAGGACAACTGAACTGACCCGCAAGGCAACCGTACTAATTCCCAGGACTTAACTCCCAAGGTGACTGGGCAGATCCCCAGGACTGACCCCCAGGACAAAATGCCAAGGCAACTGGACTGACCCCAGGGCGACTGGAACGACCTTGGGATTCATACACTTATTCAATAAGCAAGGCTCAATGAGAGAGGTCTCACCCACTATGCTGTGCGTGAGAGTTACTGCATCCTTCCTCATGGATCAGTGATGCGCATAGACTCAGGACGTGGGTTGTAACTATCCAAGAAGGGACTGATCAACTTCTTGTCTGAAAGACTCCCCATGGTATCTCCACTGGATACTCATCACTATGATCTCCCTACATACAGACTCTCCTTCTGGTCCCAGTGCTCCCGATTGGTCCCCATTACCTTGCTGTATAGGAACCGCTGCAGTTCCAGCTCAGCGATGCCCAGCTGCCCATCCTCCTCCGTCAGTCTCCAGCGCGCCTGGGCAAAGTAAATCTCAGTCCGCCTCACTACACTGACATCCTCCTGTTGCTTACGGAGCTCCAGTTTGTTTGCCCGCTGGAGCTGGAAGTCCTTAAAACACCTGAAAGGCACAGATTTGCAGGGTCAGGTAGGACCACGGGACCAGGGCAGTGTCAAGGGACAGAGAGAGCAAAGTAGCAAACAAGGCCCCAAGAGCTTGGCGTGAGGTTCGGAAGCTGGTAGAATTCTATTAATGGGATCTTGCCATGCATAAATTTGCCACCTCATTTCTTACAGCCAGTGAAGTATTGAGAAGTATATTTGCGCTTCCAACAGCAATTCTACTTTGAAAAGCACTTCAAATGATTTAGGATTTCCTAAGACAATTTAGAAACAGTTTCAACACGGGGGGATAAAAAATTTATTATTTAAAATGGCATTTCTGTAAATGAAACCATCTTGGTTTTGTCAACTCGAATGTTGTGACAGGCTCATACAATAAACACAGGAGACAGGGCCACTCAGCTCAGTGCAGAGGATTGTAACATGACCCACCTGCAAAGATACAAGTTTAGTCTAGCTTTGGTGGTACAGACTTGATGGGATAAAGTGCGTCCTCTGTACTATGCCGTTGTTAATTAAAGCATTTGATTGGGTCAGTGGAAAATATTTCATCTGGAATTGGAGGAAGGGAGGAGGATCTAGAATAAGTGGGGGGCAGGACTCTAAAGTTCAAGAAGGCTGTTCAGGAATGAAGTCAGGAAGCATCTGGTCACCTGAAGGGAGTGCAAATCCTTAACTCCCTTCCCCCAGAAACACTGTTGAGACTGTGGGGAAGGGAATGAATCACACGGACATTTTAAGGCCAAGATCAACAGACATACTGTTGGTGTAACAGGATGATGTAAGAGGGTCAGTATAACCGGACAGTGTAACAGGGTTGGTGTAATGGGACAGCGTGAGAGGGTTGGTGTAACAGGACAGTGTAAAGGGACTATGTAATGGGTTCAGTGTAACCTGACTGTGTAATGGGTTATGTACATGTATGCACCAAGTTAAATTGGGCAGTGAGAGAGTTCAATACTTGCCTGATGAGGATGTTGAGCTCCTCACTCTTGGCCTGAAGATCTGCCTTCTCCTGGTTGAGCCGGACCTGCAGATCGTGACTCTGTTTCAAAAGCGCGGAGCTCCTGAGGTCATCCTGTAAGGACTTAAACAGAACAACTGATAATCCTCATGGAGTAAAATACCTCCTCACAGAACTCGGTAAAACAGTGAATTACAGCTTAGTGGGCTACACTTTCATCACCAGGCCACAAGGTCATGGCTCATATCCCAATGCAGAGATTAGAGCCCACAATCCAGAATGGCACTCAAAGCAGTGCCGAGGGAGCACCGCACCGTCTGAAGGTCCGTGCCGAGGGAGCGCCGCACCGTCTGAGGGTCCGTGCTGAGGGAGCGCCGCACCGTCTGAGGGTCCGTGCCGAGGGAATGTAAAGACCCCGTCTTTTTATTTTATTTTATTTTTGATTGTGGATTAAAACAGAAAAGGATTGTTCCAAAACTCAGGATCTTGGAAGGATCAGTTGCACTTTTAAAACCATGTTGCTGGAACTCATTGTGAGTTTGTTTATTCTGTTGCTTTCCAGCAGTCAGGTCATCATTATGCTTTTAATTTTGGATGTTTTTATTGAATTCAAATTCTATCATCGGC